AAACTTTGTCTCTTTCTCATACTTTGGACGTATTGTCAGGAGGGAACAGTCGCTGGAGAAGGATATCATGATTGGTAAGGTGGAGGGTCAGAGAAAAAGAGGAAGACCCCCAACGAGATGGATTGGCCAGGTGGCAGCATCGATGGACTCAAGCATGGAAACAGTCATGAGGTTGGCCCAGGATCGGGCAGTGTTTCATTCTGCTGTGCATAGGGTTGCTATGAGTCAGTACCGACTCGATGGCACCTAACAACAACAACAAGGGTGACTCACTGGGCATCCTACTTTGTAGAGGCTGCCCATAAGTTAGGGGACAAATGACTGTGCCCTGGCTGTCAATTCATGGGGCTGGGGCGCCACCTGGTGGTGAGAGTCCTCCAAAGCACCAGCAGGAACACTGTAAGAGGCCAAATGTGTGGGCTTTCTCATCTGCCTCCTACCTTCTTCAGCATGGGACAACCTGTAGTTCTTCTCCACAGAGCAGCTTCCTTCTGGGAGTGTGGCACTCCTGGTTTCTGTCTTCATTTCCTGGGGCTGCACAAGAATTTTTCCTAGAGCCTTTCTGCCCCTAGAGACAGCTCTCTGAATTTTGACTTCTAGCCACCCCCAAATTTTCTGTTTGTTAAAGCCAGGGGTGGGGACCATCTGGCCTGCAGGATGTATAGGCCCCTCGAAATCACTTGGTGTGGTCCTGCTAAAGCAACCACAGTTCCAGTCATCATGTTGTTGTTGTTGTTAGGTGCCATCGAGTTGGTACTGTCTCATAACGACCTTAGGCCCAACAGAACGAAACACTGCCCTTGCCCTGCAGCGACATCACAGTGCCACGCTTGAGCCCACTGATGCTGCCACTGCCAGTCCATCTCGTTGGGGGTCTTCCTCTCTTTCTCCAACCCTTCCCTATACCAAGCATGATGTCCTTCTCTAGGGACTGGTCCCTCCTGATAATATGCCCGAAATATGAGAGAGGAAGTCTGGCTTTTCTGGCTTCCAAAGAACATTCTGGCTGTACTTCTTTCAACAAAGATCTGTTAGTTCTTTTGGCAGTCCATGGTATTTTTAATATTCTTCTCTAAAACACCATAACTCAAACGCATCAATTCTTCTACGGTCTTCCTTATTCATTGTCCAACTTTCAAATTCATACGAAATTATTGAAAATACCATGCCTTGAGTGAGGCACACCTTAGTCCTCAAACTGACATCTTTGCTCTTGAACACTTTAAAGA